CCTTCCAACCCAAACCTGTCTGTGATTCTATCCCAACTCTTCTTGCTCCCTGAATGTGATAGGAGTGGTCACTGGGAAGACAGGTGAGGAAAAGGCCAGAACAGACAAGTGACAAGCAGTATGAGGGTCCTCTTGGACCTTATCAGATGTTTCTGAGTAAGTGGAATTCTGTGAGGGGAAGATTTGAGATCAAAGGCAGGTCTTCTCCACGTTATAGATCCCTGAATGGCTTACTACTTTGGTTTAGGAGACTGTGACCTTGAAGTATGTAGAAGTAAGCACTGGTTGTTTTATAAACAGAAGTACAATAGCCACTGCAAAAAACAAATGAGACTAATAGATCCCTGCCCATGCAGAAGGTCCCTTTAGTCAGAAATGACAGATAAGGCCAAGCTAAGGCTTCTCTTTAATTTTCTAATAAACTAATGTGGCTTATCGGTCCTAAGTAGGAGTCAGTCAGCTGTATAGCCTGTATAGTCCTATTCCAGCTCCAAAAGCCCATGGATTCAAGTAGGCACATGCTGGTTGAATTGGGTGGAAATCCTGAAGGACTGTGACAGCAAGATGGTCCCTGGGCCAAGAGATCAGTCTCAAAATTCTGCTCCAGTCAGTAAGGATCTGTACCACCAGAAGTATCATTCCTCCACCATCCAAGAAATAAAACGGGGTGTGATACGTGCGCTGCTGTACGTAGCACGTGTACAATACGCTGCTCGTGTTTCTGCCCAAGGCTGCAGGATCTGTCCCTTATATATTCCACTCGCCAGGCTTTGCAGGCTGAGGATTGTGCTGCGTTTCCCCCCTATTTGTTTTTTTATAACATCTGTGGTTATCTTTACCTTCTGTCTTTGTCCCTGTAGCAAAAGCCACCTTCACCGCCCTCTCCTGACGAGATCCCCATCAACGTCAAGCAAGCCTACAAGACCTTTGCAGCGGTGCCCTTGTCACACCCTCTGCTCGAGACACAGGTAACTCGTGCTGGCTGGGGGGATGTTACACGCACAGTGGCACAAACACAAGATGGGGTGTTGCAGGTGAGCAAGGGAAGTGTGAGAGTAGGAAAGAGGTAGTGGTTTGTTGCCTCCAAAGAAAGTTGTTGTGAAGGAGGAACATGTTGAAGTTCCCTAAAGTGTCATTGTCTCGTGTTAATTCTGGCATTGTGTTGTGAGCCAGTCTGTCAGCTGCTGTCCGGGACTGCTGCTGTTTATGTGGCATTGGTGATGCTTGGGTGGAGGGCAGGAGTGGTAGTAGCAAACTTTCTTTTCAGAACATGCTCGTTTCTCTGTGTTCTTAGGAACTGCCTGGTCAGACCAGCACAGAGAATCCCAAAACCACCCCAGAGGTGAGTTCTGATGGCTGGAGCTGTAAGTAGGATGGGGACTCGCAGAGGTTTCGGGCTTTCAGGACTGTGGATCTGGAGGCAGGATCACAGCATGGACACACAAGGACACACATGGACACACAAGGGAGAGTCGGGGAGGAGGAATTAAGTGTGGAGCACGTGGCTGGAGTGGGCTGGTGTGGGGCTCACACTGGGGGCGATGTGGGGAGGGAGTTTTGGCTTGGTCCCTCTGTGGACAGTGCTGGTGTGGCTCTCACAGGTGGCCACGCACAGCCCCAGTGGACTCCACAGCCCTGAGCAGAGATCCTTCCGTGAGAGGCAGAAGTATTTTGAAATTGAGGTGAAGCAACAGCAGATGGATAAACCTCCCAAGCGTGTCTCCCTGGTAGGAGAAGATGACCTGAAGAAAATGAAAGAAGAGGAAGGTATGTGGAAATCTGTGCAAGGAAATTTGATCTGTTAAGTGAATCCTTTCTCTGTGGGAGGCATGAGAGAACACACACACCAGAAATCCAGCACTTCCAAAGCCCATGGGTGGTTATTCATAAGGTCTGGTAACAGCTTGAAATGAATGTTAAGGAATTTTGTGGATGCTCCACTGTTACTATGTGGACTGGTGGAAGTGCTGTGATGTTAGTGTTTCCGTAGTTGGTAAACAATACAATTTTTAAAAGCTACTACAAATGATGTTTCTTTGTAAGCTGCCCAGGCTGATATGTAGCAACATGGGGTTGCCCATGGCATCCTTACATAGTATCTGACAGCAGAGCAAGACAAGAGTAAGCTCATAAGACAGAAAGGAAGGTAAGAAAAAGAAGTTAGAACTTGTCATTTTAAGTTTCTTCAATGCGATGGGACCAAAGGAATCACAGGTCCAACATAAGTTATCTGGGTACGTCAGACTTACTGTTGGCTGAGAGAGAGATGTAGGAGATGCAGAGGTCAAGATATAAAGTATTGGAAGGAGAAGCTGTAGAGTCTTGATGAGCTTCAGGCTTGCATGTCAGCTTGTTTTGAGATTTGCTATGTGGGGTAGATGAGGAGAAACATCACTTCTAATCAGGGTGTCTCTGAGTACTAGAATTTACTTCCCCAGGGGGGAAGAGAGATCCCGTGGTGAAGATTGTCCAGACAATAAATTTAGTTTTAGCTTATTCTGATGAAACATCCCAATCAGATATCTCAAAGTGATAAGCTACATCCTCTGTATCTTTGCAATTCTAGCACTTACACAAAGATTGCTGCTGCTTTAGGCTGTTCTGTAAAATCTGTTCTATAGAGTGTCCAGGAATGGAAGTTTAGTGAATAAGGAAGGAGGAACTAGGGAATGGTGTGGAGTTTGTAAGATCAGAAGCATCAGTGGAGGAGAGGAGAAACCAAGACATCCACGGAGAGGGTATGGACTTAAAACAGCACAAACTTTCAGGGATGATGAGCGTAAGGACCTGCCCAGAGGCTGCATCCTGGTGGGGATTTAGCTGGTGCTTTGTGGTATAAGATGCCTCTGTCTTATTTTCACAGCTCGGAAACTGCAGCAGAAACGTACCCTTCTGTTGGAGGAAGAGGCAGAAGAGGATGAGATGGTAAAGCAGGTGCCTGAGATGAGCATGCAGTCCAGTGTGATCATTGAAGGAGTTGAGTACAAGATTGAGAGACTAAACGGAAGGAACATCCAGGCTTCAGCAACCCGGTAAGACAAGACTGGCATCTCAGTACCACCCACGTGTGTCAGAGGTGTCCCAGTATCAATCATTTTCAGGGAAGAGACTGGGCAGTATTTCTTCTTCAGCATAGAAATGGACAGGTTTTTTCAGCTCTTTCTTTTCAGAAGAATAACTCCTTCAGCTGTGCACTTAGGTATGTAGAGATACTGATTTTTAGAGGTAGCTAATTCAAGATAAGCCCTGATGCTGAATCTAGGTTTGGGTTTTTTTAGACTTTTGTTTCCTGGTTCCCCTGAACCTGTGCTCCAGATTGCCTTGATGTTATTTTTCTAAATCTTGGACACAGAAATGGGGAATGAGAAAAGGCTTCTCATAAGATAAAAATTCAGATAAAACTAAGGTTGCACTAGAATGAAGCTGAAGTTGTCCTTATCTGACTCTCTCTTCTAAGTCTCTGGTACAGACATTCTTCTCTTCATAAACACTTTTATTATCAGTCTTACAGTGTCTGAAAACACTTACCTTGGCATTTTGAATCTCATTTCTCTCCACTGTTTCTGTCCAGTCTCTCTTGAGAAGCTTCTCACATAGGGAATGCACTGAGACCTTCCACCTCCTGTGCTGACAGGGCACATCTAAGGGAGGACAGCAGCCAAATGCAAACCAGCTTCTTGGCTTGATGTAAAGGGCTACTTATCCCTGCTGTTTTCATACTGAAACGTGGGAGGTTAGAGAACAGCAAGGCTGGATCTATCAGGTGACTTTCAGTTGCTTATTATTAACGCTGGAACAAAGGCGAGGCAGTGGAATAGGCTGAATTTGTGTTTCTTGAAATAATTTTTTGTCATGGTAGAACAGAAACTGAAATTTAATCAAAGTAAACTTGAGCAGTAAAAATAAGGGCTCAGAGTCATGATAAACTTTCTCACTGCCAATTGAGGCACAGTAGCTGTGTGCATGTTCTTAACCTGCGGACAACAGGCTTGTGTGACCTCCTTTCATGACATATCAAACCGAGTAGTATCTGCATGTGCACAACTTGAGTGCAAATGGTAGTTACAGCTCAGCTGAAGTTACAGTAATTTTGTTATGAGCATAAAGCCTCAAACAGTCATGCATGGATTGGCTACATTGAGAATCACTGGTCTGAGATCACTCAGGATTCATCCCTAGCCCAGAGAACAAGTCCTACGAGGAATTCACGGCTGAGGGAACTGGGGTTGTTGAGCCTGGAGAAAAGGAGGCTGAGGGGAGACCTTGTGGCTCTGTGCAAGTCCCTTGGAGGAGGGTGGAGAGAGGTGGGGGTGGGTCTGTTCAACCAAGTACCAAGTGACAGGACAAGAGGAGATGGCCTCAAGTCGTGCCCAGGGCAGTTGAGATTGGATGTGAGGAAGAATTTCTTTGCTGAAAGGGTTCTGAGGCATTGGAAGGGGTTGCCCAGGGCAGTGGTGGAGTCCCCATCCCTGGAGGGATTTAAAAGATGTGTAGATGAGGTGCTCGGGGACATGGTTTAGAGGTGGAATTGGTAGTGTTGGGTTTATGGTTGGACTCTGTGATCTTAAAGGTCTTTTCCAACCTCTGTGATTCTGTGAGGTGTGCATTCACTTACAGCCCAAGAGGGTCATCCTTTGTTAACATTGATGCATATCTGACGTCACCAAAGGAAAAGGCTGGAAGCATCCAGGCTGCCCATCACGTAATGGCAGCTGTAAAGAGCCAGGCTAGAACTGTGCTAGAACTTGTCGGCAAACACGATGTGTTCCGTTTGAAGAGCGTGTGTGTGTGTGTTGGTGATGGTTGACTTCCAAATGAAGAAAATTAGTTCTGATGTTCAAGAGTGTGAACATTTATGAAATCAATGAGGAAACGCTTGCAGCAATGGAGAAGGAGCTGTTGAGCAAAATCATTATGGGTTGTGTCTTCAAGCTGACCTAGTTGTTACTTTCTGGGGCTTGGATCTGTTCTAAACCTTTCTGGGGTATGGCAGCCTGTGGTACAGTTAGCTGACGTGCTTGTTTTGCTCCAGGGCCTCCGAGCTCAATGAGAACAGCAGCTCACAGAGGAATTCACTGGAAGAGGGAATCAAGCCTGAACAGAGAACCAACTCTATGTCTGGGTAAGTGGATCAGCGATGTCCTTTGCCTAGGAGCTGCCACATGATGGAGCAGATGATTCCTTCTTTTTAGCAGGTAGAAAAGGAAGGATTTTGTGGAGAAAAGGAAACTGTGATTGGAACTAACTTCTTAAGAGAAACTCACCTCTGTTATGTGTCCTTCTGTCTCCCAAGGTGATGTCCTTGGATGTGGTACTTGAACAGTTGATTGAGGGTATTGGTCATCACCTTTATCTGCCTGTTTTCAAGATAAAGAGTTGTGGTGGAGCAGGCCAGCCTACCTCTCACTGTTTCTGTCTCTGCCCAGGTTGAGTCCATTATATCTTGGAGCAGGGGATGCAGTGGCACCTGTGCGGACAGCCAAAGCTGAACGGCGGCACCAGGAGCGGTTGCGAATGCAGAGTCCTGAGCTTCTGAGTGGTCAAGAGAAGGAGCTTTCTCCAGCAGAACGTCGTGCTCTGGAGGCAGAGAAACGAGCAATGTGGAGGGCAGCACGGTGAGACAGAAGAACCTTCACTGTTCTCTTCCCTAGGGTAGTTTCAGGAAAAGAGCACCCGCTGCATGTCTTTTGCATTACACGGTATTAAAACCAGGGAATAAAGAAGCTTTCCTAAGTCAGCTGTTAGGGGAGGCTCTATCCTAACTCTTCAGACAGTGCAAAGCATCTGCCGCTTGGCTGAGCTCATCTGCTTCTGCCAGCTACGTGGCTGAGATGTCTCATCTATTTCAACAATGCTTGCATAATCACAAAGATAGTGGAGTTTTATACAAAACATAACTTAAAAATCTTTATGTGATGGTAAATGATTCCTTCCCTCTCAGCACACAGCTTCCCACCTCCTTTGTAACACAAGACGAAGATCATACTTACTGAAGCTGCAAAGTGACACATTCAGAATGGAAAGAGCATTTCACATTTCTAGTGTTGCTAGACTGGAAAACTTGCTGAAGCCAAGAAATTAGTAAGACAAGGGCATTCTTATCCACGCAAGCTGTCTCATCAGCTGTGAAAGAATGATTAAAAATTGTTTTGGAAGAAAGAGAACTTCCTAGCTCAGAACTTAAGACCTGAAGCTAGTCCAGGCATTTACTGTGTCATAGAATTCCTTTCAAAAATTAGTCAAGCTACTCCTATAACTAATTTTAGTTTTATTCTCATAATGTTCCTGTAGGAGGCATTCAGAGGACAATCTGAAGCAGTTTCTTTGTGGGTTTGAATGAGAGCTTTTAGAGGAACAGGGCTGCTAGTGCCTCATCCTTGCCAGCCTGCTGGAGGGATTACTGTGCGTGGTGGTACCACTTGGCAATTCCCATGTTTGTGATTGGACATGGATGATAATAGTGCTGTCATCTTCTGGGGAGGCTCTGAGGATTAAGAAATATATAGTGGAATCCTCAGTGAGAGCTGCCTAATTATCTAGGGCTTGGAGGGTACAAAGCTTCCCATTATTACTTGATCATGTTACAGATCTGCTTATGGTTTATTTAGAGCTGGACTCATCTTCCTAGGACCAGGGCTTTTTCTCTTCAAGAAAAACTTCCCTTGGTGTTCTCCAGCTCTTTGCCTTGGATGAGTCCTTTGCCTGGGCTGTCTCAGATGGAAATTTTTTTCTGAAGTGCTGCCTTAGTTTCACTGTACTGCCCTGCAATGTCAGAAAGCTGGCCAGGTCACTGGGAAGCCTGTTTATTATATGGAACCTTGACTGGGAAGAGATTGATTTCTGTCATCTTGTAGCATGTTTGTTAGACCTTTGAAGCTGGCCCTGCTTTGAGCAGCTTTTGGATCAGGTCCCTTCCAACCTGAATTACTCTGTGAGTCTGTACTTACTAATCTCTCCTTCTCTGGCTCCCCGCTAATGGGGATGCCTGCGTGCAGTCATAGTGATGAGTCAGAATGTCAACAGAGTGTGGTCTGGCAGGATTGTTTCCTCCTGTGTTATTGTTCCGTGCTCCAAGTACTGTGGGATTCTCTCTGTTGCTCTGATTCACTGAATATTCTGGTATATTTGTCATCTCACGCTTACTCCACTTGATGCTGTTCCCATGGATTCTGTGTCACAACTTTTCAGGTGGCATCAATTGCAAAAAGCAGTTGTATTTGTTCACGTTAAGCCAGGAACAACCCTTTTACAGAAATACAAGTGGAGGAGTATTTGTAAACAACGCCTGCCAAAACAGATGCACTGCCCTTGTGTTACGGGGCTAGAAGCTGCCTAGGTGTTGTGGAGCCAAATGTGTGCTTACAAACCAGTGCTTAGAAGAGGCTGACTGGGACTGGGATGACCAGATCCAAGTTCTTGTTCTGGCATCTTACGATGTTGGATGTGTCACTGAGTCCCTCCATGCTGCAGATGCATGGAGAGAGGACTGTGATAGCACTTCCCTGTCTCACAGGAAGGCAATGAACGTTGAATCCATTAAAAACTGACTGTCAGTAGGACGCTGTGTAAGCCCCACAGTGTCATCAGGAGTAGACATCTTGCACAGAGCTGCTGCTCAATTTTTGCACCTGGGGAAAAAAAAAAAAAAGCTTCACTGTTGTATTTGATCCAACAAAACAGAAGTTGTCTGTCAGGCTTCTCCTCCTGAAAATCAACATCCCTGTGTTTGGAGAGGTGGCAGAGACTGATCCGTCATCCCTTCCCAATTAGATAGGCAGGATTTTATCTCCCTCGTGGCTCCAGTTCTCATGCATCTTTCCTCATACGATGGGTCAGGCTTTATGAGGTAACGTCAGCTCTGATTTCTCCTAAGTCTGCGCGTTAACATATCCAAGGAATGCTGTAATAAAAGCTTTGTTTAAGATGGGTGTAGAAGCAGAAACATGATGTTGCCTGGACAAACCTTTGGAAGCAAAGCTGTTACAAGGACATTGCTCGTGTCACAGAATGTACCCGACTCGCCTCAGGACTTTGTGTTCTTCCATGAACTTGTTGCCAGCGGATAAATAAATCTGAAAAATGCTGGAGGGGGGATGGGATTTTTTTAGGTGATCACATGATTTGCTCCTGTAACATTACTGTACATCTGACTGTGCTTTTGGATTAGCTAGGATTTTGTTGAAATTGCTTAGGGCACAGTACAAGTTCTACATGACACTGCATAGGGGTTATAGAGAGTGCTGAGTGTAGTGGCTTTGTCCACTATGGGCAGGAGAGAGATCCCTGCGTTCCAAACCTTCAGTCTCTTCTCTTCTAAGCATGCTTTGTTCCTGGAAAATGAACTAGGGAAGGGGAGAGCCTTTTAGAGGTAAGAACACATGACAAGGAGAAGCTACTTGCAGCTGTCTTGCTTTTCAGTTATCAGATCCAGTGTTACTGTTTTTAAGTTCTGCAGACCAGGTCCTCGGCTCCACTTTGCTTCTGATACCAAGGTGTAGATTTTTATTCAGTTCTTAGAGAAGTGCCTGGCTGATTCCTTGGGCAAGGAGGTCACCATAATGTGCTCCTTTTTGTAAGACAAGGATGGACTGTTCCCCGCTACCATAGATCTCCCAGGATGATCTGATCTTCTTCAGATCCCTCTTCTATAACTGCTAGAGCAGGCACAGGGACATGATGGCAGCCAGCGCTCAGGTCTTATTTCCAGAGGCCCCCAGGCAGCACTACATGTGCCGTGTGGGAAGGAGGACTGTATTGCCCTGCACATGGTGCTGCAGCCTCACTAACCTGTATTTTCTTTTAAGTGCATGCCACTGATCTTATTGCTTTCTTTCTAATTGTCTGTCTTCTGCTTATTTCCAGTTCTCTGGTCTGTGTGCTGTCACTCGTGACCCCATCAGTTTGCATCTTCTTGGGCTTTCCATTTTCTCCCTGTGTCATCAGTGCTCTGCCAGAACATGGGATGCACCCCCCCCTTTCCTCCCCCAGCATACACCCCTGTGCTCTATTGGGACACACACACCAGGACTCACTACATCAGTGTTCTGGGCACACACAACCACTGGCATTCATGCCATAGGACGAGTGTGATTAAGAAGGTGCAGGCACATATCGAGGGGGGCAGGTGTCCAGCGAGGGCTTTATGCATCTTGGCAGTTTTCCTACCATGCACACGCTATTTTACAGGTGCACTCACCTCTTCAGTTGCGTGTGTTCCAGGGCCTGTGGCAAATAGACCTTTCGTAATGTGCTTCTCCATTTTGCTTCCCACTTTCTCATGGTCAAACAAAGGTGTATGCTAACAGGTGGTCACATATATGTGTGCAAATATACGCTAAGAGACTATCAATGTGTGCACACACAGTCACTGATGCCTTCTACTCCCTCAGTCTGCTTCACACATACACACACACAGCTTTGGAACTTGCTCCTGGGCCTTTTCCGTTGGTTTGTTGGGGGTTTCTAGTCCTCTCCTCGTAGCCCATGAGGAAGGCAGGCTCTAGATGCTGAGGCTCTGAAGGCCAGTGCTTCTGGGCACGTCATCTCAGATTTTCCTCTGGAGGTTCCTGCTTCTTCTGCAGCAGTTGGTGTTGGACAGGATCAGATATAGGAGCCTGTTTTAATCAAGGCTACCCTTATATCAGACCAGTATTTCTCCTTGCCAGGGTATGTTCCTGTATCTGTTTCTTTCTTTCCCTGCACTTGTCCACTGTGATGTTCATCACCATCATCTCCTCTTCCTCCTCCTTTTCCTCCTCCTCCTCCTCCTCAGATCCTCAGCTCTTGAAGACAGTATTAAACAGTACGAGCAGGATCTGGCCAGGAAACTGTACCAGTCCCGACAGTGGGCACCTGCTCCCGGGGCCAGGCCAGCTCAGATGTCTAGTCCAATGCAGAGTCACGCCTCAAGAATCCCTGGGTCAGGAAGCCAATCCAGGTGTGCACAGCCCCCTCCCTGCCAGCTGCATGCTCAACAGTCCTGGCTGTATCCCTACATCCTAACGCAGTGCTCCCAGCTGTGGCCTGCTAGGGGTAGGGAGGACATTGTAGTGGTTGTTGGTGTTCCTTTCCCTGAGGTCCCACAGACTGCTGGCAGTTGTCTCAATGAGAACGAGGGGGGGATGCTGGGTCTGGTTGATAGGGAGAAGGGAGCGGACATTTCTGAGGGCTGAGCCCACTTTTTTGTAGCTATTTCATAATCTCCTGATGGCTGGAGAGGGTTAAGATGCAACACACTGAGAGCACAGAGGAGAGTAAAGCCCTGAGAGCTGATCCTACTCCTTTGAGCTCCTGCAGTTCCTTTCCCAGCTTGGATTGTTCTCCCATCGTATGTGGCACCTCTGGAAAGGTCTGCAGTTTCTCAGTGCGTTGATGCTTAGCTCTAGGCTCTGTCTGTTCCACACATATGATGGCATGTGTGTTTCAGGGTGACAGCCGTTCTCCTTTTCTGCTTTGAAAGTCTGTCTGCCTCAGGGAACCAAGGGTGCTTGATTCCACCTTTCTGCACTCAGCCTGTTGACTGTGGTCTGGCTGCTGGGTGCAGAAGGTGATGTTATCTCTTATTGAGAAGGCAAAGTCTGATGTCTTTTTCTCCCTCCCTCATTTCTGAGGCAGGATGAAATCACTTGAACAGGATGCTCTTAAAGCCCAAATGGTTATTGCCAAGTCCAAGGAGGGGAAAAAACGCAGCACACTGGAGCAGCTGGCAGAGTCACCTTCACCTGTTCCTACCCCATCACCAACACCACTGGAAGGTACTGTATGGCTGTCTCTATCTTGGAGGAGAAAAATGATGCTTCTCTAGCTTAACTTGCTTGAAAGCAGACCTGTTGAAAGCAATTACCTCCTTCAGCATGGATTGGATGGGGCATAGGACATCTGTCAGCATAGGGGATGGGCCTGATCTATAGAAAACATGAGAACATCTGAGAGATGGTTCCAGGGAACTAGAGCAGAAATAAAACCAGCATCGTGACTTTTTTAAAAATCAGGAAAGAGGTGTTTGTTCTGAGAAGGCAGCAACTTTCCGGAGTGTAGTCTTTTATCACACTTAAATGCTGCTAAATGGAAGGGGCAGATTCGAGGAAGTGTTGAATATAATAATACAGCTGTTGACTAAATCATGCTTTTCTCTGATCTTTTGCAGATTGCAGTCCCAGGAACATTACTTCCCCAGGAAGGCTGGTATGACACACTTCTGCTTGCTTTTGTTATTTTGCCTATAACTCTGGGATTTCTTGGTTACTCAGCTTGGGTGTGGACTGTGCATCTGGGCCATGAGATCCCTACTTAAATACGTAAGGCAGGTCTGGCTGCGTGATACAGAGAATTGTGAAGAGGGCACAGTGGATAGAGCTCTGCCATACCCATTGCTAGGGGGATCCTCCCTTTTTTGCTGCTACGATGTAGCATCTGTTTTCTGTTTCTCTGTTTTATTATTTCATCCTTTTCTTGGTTCTTCATCTCCATGTTCAGAAAGCCTTTCACTTCAGAGACTTTGGCCCCTTGTTTCCTCAACAGCATAAAACTGACAACTTCAGCTGAAATCAGCATTTGCCTTTTTCTGAGCACGCTATAAATGCAAGAGAACGTTGTTGCAGAGAACTGTCAAAATTAGTAAGACAAACGGAAGAGTGGGAGCAGCTGCACAGAGAGGGGACCTGCTTCTGCCCAAGGTCACACAGTGCAGCCAACTCTGGATTGAAATCCTGATTGTGCTACAGCCATTGGGAATCTTGCCACAAATTTTCCCACAAAAATAGGTTTTGTTACCTAACTTGGTGTGCGTGTGCATTTTACTGGAGCACATAATGTTTTCTCTGCAACTTGGAACTCCTGTCTTGACACCAGAACAGCTAAAAAGACAATGTCCCAGAGATGCCTTGTTTTCAAGACTGTCTCCAGGCACTTGTGGCACTAACTGAGAATGACACGCTGCTTCTGCTTCTGTCTCTGCATAGGTTGCTCCACTTGCTGCTGATTTTCCACCCGTTTCTCTCCCCTCACTCTGTCTTCTCTGTTTCTTCTATTTTGCTGTCCCTTCTAGTCCCTGTCTGAAAAGAAGTTTGACTACCGGGAATTTGCTGCTATTCCTTCCTCCAAACCTGTTTACGAAATCCAGGTATAAACTGCATGCTGAGCCATCTATGAGATTGGTTAGGGCTTGGTTTGATGGAAGTGCCTGCATGTGAAGTGATGACCTTCAGAGCAGAGAGTGAATGATTTGAGGAAGTCCTCTTCAAAGGCCTGGCCTGTGTGGGAGGCAGTGGCAGCCAGCTGTGCTGTGTAACTGAGGGTTTATTGGAGATGTCAAAGAAGTGGAATTGTGAAACAGTTGGTCGAGGTGGTTTTAAAATTAATGACAAAAGCTTTGCAAATACAAAGCCGCTACATCTTCACCGTAATTGATCCTGAGATATTTTTAAGTGAAAGATGAGAACTAAAAAGGAAGGAAAAAAACTATAGAAATGCTTGCCATCAAATTGCAAATTGGAGCAAATGTTAACTTCAAACTGGAATGTATCCAGCATCCTGCTCAAGAAGCAGCTGTGGTGACAATTCTTGTATGTTGTAACTCTGCTGTAGATGAACTGCGGAGTAATCAGGTGGTAGGAGAACACCAAGTTTCGAGGGTGAGCACCATGGTAAGGTGGTTCTCCTTCCTAAAAGGACCTCATTCCGTTTAAGCTGCTTTGTCATAGAATCACAGAACAGTTGAGGTTGGAAGGGACCTCTGGAGGTCATCTTGCTCAAGCAGGGCCACCTAGAACCAGTTGCCCAGGACTGTGAACTGCCTTTCTCTTATTGTCTGGGTTAGCCATGAACTGATTGCATTGTGACAGCTGATTTGAGCAGATACTGTGTGTCTGTAATCTTTTTTTGCTTGTATAGTTTTATGTAACGACAACAAAGCAGATACCTGCAGTTACATTTTGTGTTGTGTGTGCAGAGCTGGCACGTATTGACGTGTTGGACTTTAAGTTGCTGTCATGACACAAAGATCCCAAGTTCAAGGTGTTATCCCCAAAGCCAGGCTGACTTGAGCAGAGTTGCAGCTGGAGGATTCTCAGGCAGTTACACGTTATTTGGTGCATATTCTTGGCTGACTCCTTTCACTGGTGGTGTTGCTCAGCTCTTGGTAGTCATCGTTTTCTCTAAGAATCCCTTCCCTTTTGGGGTGTGCTCCTGTCCAGGTTCTGTACCAAACGAGTTAAAGGGTTTACCACTGGAGCCCCAGTGGCAGCTCTGGACCACCAGAGTTCCCCCAAGCATCTGCTGAGGCCACAGTGCAGCACTGGGTCTTCCTGCAGCTGAGAAGGTGCCTCCAAAGGAGGCTACACCTCCAAATCATCAGGACCTCTCTCAGCAGTGCAGTAATTAAGAGATTGTATTTCTTCCTGGCTGTAGTCGCACAGCTGTGTCCCTCACTGTGCAGTGCTGTTTGGCTGGGCTGTGTTCCTCAGCACTGCATCCCAAAGTTATCACAGCCCCCTGTGCTCTGCTCTCGGCTGTTCATGAAGAGCGTGACTTCTCCATACATTTGCTTTATTGCTAAAGCACTAAATGGGTTCCCCCTCTTTCCTGCCTCCTCCAATTTTGCTGCTTGCACAAAATAGGCAAGTTTATGTGGAAATGAAGGCTTCTTGCACCCTCGCAGCTCTCAAACTTCCCTAATTCTTTCCATCTAAGTGTATAGAGTCACCAGAAATTAAGCTACTCCTCACTTGTGCTCTTGAGCTGAGCAAGAAGACCCCTAAAAGATAGATTTTGATCAGTAGTGGCCAGAACTTTCAGATCAGTTTGGCATTATTGAACTTGCTGAACACTGAGCTCTTCTGTATTCTCATATTTGTACAGCTCAGAGAAGTGTGGAGCTCAGTCTAAGTATTGTGTACAAACCTAGAAAGAACAGTAGAAGTAACCAGTGCAGCCACTTTTGAAGTAAACAGAAACCTCAACAGAACACTTTGCCTTTTCTATCCTTGAAGCACTGCATACAGCTAGATTAAATTTTCTGTTCCAGCAAAATAAGTTGGGTTTGGGACATTTATGCCTGTCCCCACAGTAGTGCTGGTTTTCAGTCCATGAGCAAAGTTGTTTTCTCATGGTGCTGTTGCTCTGGTTGTTGGAATGGTCTTCATTTTGTGAGGGCTTTAAAATTAGCAGGAACTGGTGGAGTTTCATGATTATCACTTAGCTGTTTTTCCAAAGCCGTCTCTGACGTGTTGGGATGTAACAGCTCAAGGGAGAGCTTCTCACTCTCTACAACTCCCTGAAAGGAGGGTGGAGAGAGGTGGGGGTGGGTCTGTTCAGCCAAGGAACAAGGGACAGGACAAGAGGAAACGGCCTCAAGTTGTGCCCAGGGCAGTTGAGATGGGATGTGAGGAAGAATTTCTTTGCTGAAAGGGTTCTGAGGCATTGGAAGGGGTTGCCCAGGGCAGTGGTGGAGTCCCCATCCCTGGAGGGATTGAAGAGTCGTGTAGACACAGTGCTGAGGGACATGGGTTAGTCGGGGGACTTGTGAGTGTTGGGTTCATGATGGGACTCTATGAGTTTAAAGGGCTTTTCTAATCCAGGCAATTCTGGGATTCTGTGTTTCCAATCTAACATCAGTTCTCTACACACACCTGCCTATAAAGAAGGTTGATTTTGTGTAAGAAGGTGGGTCTGGGAACAGTGCAGATGGAGAATTAGGATCCAGGACTCTCAAGGAAATTTAGTTCATGTCTTTGCTCTCCTCCCACGCTTCTACTCATTTTCTGTAGTCTTGATGCTTCTGCCTTTCATGCCACTTCCTTACCTCTCCTCCCTGCACACACAAGTAAAAGGAGGAGGGCTCTGACGGGCAGACACACACCTCATCCTGCAGTTCGGGCAATGGGCTGCTTGGCTCCAGCACGAGGGATCCATGTAATTGTGTGTTCACTGGGTCCTGCCGCAGCTGCTCTGTTACTGGCGCCTTTGAGGGCAAAAGGTTCTCTGTAGTGTGTTGGAAGGCTGAGGTGGGGAATTAACCTGGCACTAAGGTTACAGAGGTGGATGCTCATATCTTCTGTTCTCTTCCAGTCACCTGATGCAGCTGATGACCCCAGATACATAGATGACAGAAATAACTCAGGTAAGCTCACGGCCAAAGGAGTTGTCTTTGTACTACTCGCTTCCCACCATGGTTCTCGAGGGTTCCCCTTTGCCTGCTTGTGGAATCAACCCTGAGGACTTCCACTTCTTGCTGCTTGAAGCAATGTCCTATTTTGTCCATTCTAGAATGAAACCTCCAAACTCGCCACGTTCAGTTTTGGGTAGGATATTTGCATTGTGCTTTAGTGATGGCTAATTTGCTGAGAATGGTGTGTAACAAGCACGTCTAGTTTTCTTACAGTTTTGTGTTTTGGAGTACAGAGTGGTAGTAGAACGTAGGTGGGAAGTTTTGGCCTCTTCTTTTCACCTGCTGTAAGTGGATCACGTCCATTGTTCAGGGTCTGCCTTGTGCCCCTTTTGCTGGAGCAAAGAATCTTGCTGCCTGCAGCAGGCAGCTGCAGATAAATTCATCCTGGTTTAGGACTTCAGAGCATTTGGGTGCTTGAGTTCCCAGGGTGACTTTCCAAGTCTACACTTGTGGATCTGTGTGCATGGTCTCCTAAATAAACAGTCACTGAAGCTTTTAACTGCTGTATCTCTTCAGGCTGTCCTAGCCATGGCTTGTCTTTCTGTCACCAGCTGTAATAGACGGGCTCAGACTATCTCCCACTTAATTCTAGGTGGCTGTAGTAGTCGTGTGGAGCACCCTTTTGTTTTCAAGACTTCCATTTTACTGATTCTTTCCCACCCAAATGCCAAAATTTTGCAAAACCAGAATCTCCAGATTCATACTAGTTGCAGTGCCTGTGCTCTCTTCCAGTATTTTCTGATTTCTCTCATGGGATAGGAAGCATGTAAGGGAGGCTTGCTCAGAATATAGAATAATGGAATGGTTTGGGTTGGAAGGGACCGTAAAGACCATCCAGTTCCAGCCCCCCTGCCATCAGCAGGGACACCTTCCACTAGACCAGGTTGCTCAAAGCCTCATCCAACCTGGCCTTCAGCACTTCCAGGGAGGGGTATCAGTATCCTGTTTGGCTGGAAGTGAGTTCTTAAGGAAAGATTGTAAGAAACAGATAAAATGAGCTTGCATAGATGCATATTCTCAATTTTTTGTAATTGCCTATTAAGTAGGGATGTCTTGAGCCAGGTATTGTATCTAGATCATCAATGGAATGATCCTCTACACAATTTGTCTAATTTTTATTTTTTTTTTAATTTTTCACGGTGCTTTGTGGCATTGAGTTCCATAATTAGGCATTTTGTTTACTTTAATTCTGTTTCTTGATAATTTCATTGGGCCTTCTGGGATGCAGTGAATAATTAAGTCTTATTCACTCTTTCTGTACCATTCATGTAGGCCAGTATCCTGTCAGTTATCTTTCTTCCAGGCTGACAGATCCTCATAGTTCTCTGTGGAAATTGTTCCCACACCCCTTAGGACCCTTTTTACTTCATACTATGCATTTTTAAGATAGAGAAGGCGACCAGGGCTGCATGCAGCATTGCAAATATAGGTATATGATGAGTTTATGCAGTGGCAGAAGGTGTTCTGTATATTTTCTCATCTTTTCCAATATCTAATCCTCAAAAGTGACATGGTGTTGCTGAGAAGTGTGCCAGTGTTTTCAGAAAGCTCCTCCTAATGACTACAGAATTATAATCTCATTTTAAGGATGTTCTATTTTATATGCAATCGGGATTATATTACTTTTATTGACCTTAAGCATCATCCAATAGCGTAAAAATAAACTTACTAAGTCAGTATGAGGTTCTGGCTAGTCCAGTATTGTGTCTGATGTGAGACACTGGAAATGCCAAGAAAAGAGCATAAAAGAAGAAAAGCAGAAAGTGATTCCTTCCAGAAGACCAGGCTACAACAATCTATGGTTTAACACTTCCTAAACCAGAGACCTTTAATTTTAGAGTTGTTTATTTCTTTCTTGAACCTATTCACATGTGTAGTAAATTTCACCTTCCACATCATTACTGAGTCAACTCTGTAAAATCCTGATACCCTTTTTTGGAGCCGAGTTTCATCTGACTACCCTGATACACAGCTTGGTATCATCAGCAGTTTCTCTCAACGTGGTCTTCATCACTTCTCATTAGTTACCACATACTGACCCTGATAGAGATACCTGCTCTAGGTAGTGATAGCAGGTAGTATCTTCCTGCACTATTTCTGTGTTTTAACTACTTATTTACCCACTAAAGGATGTGCTTCTTATCCCATGGCAGCTTGGTTTTGTTAAGAGCTTTGGCTGGGGAATAATCAAAAAGTTTTTTTAAAGTTGTGTGCTGTGTTGAGATCACTTAACTTGCATGTTTGGTGGCTCTTTTGGCAAATTCTAGTCTAAGAGCACCTAAAAGGAATGACTTCCATCTAAGCCACACTGATTTCCTCCTCCACTCCACCCCTCCATCTGGATTTTTATCTGCATGTGCCCGGGCCGTTCTTTTATACCTGTTTGCCTTGTTTGGAAGTCAGTCATCTGCTTACCAGTCCCAGTGTCCTTTCAAGAGGTCAGATTTGTCACCTACATTCATTTGGTCCTAAGGGCTTTTCAAACAAGTTAATGCTACTGTTAATAGTTGAGGAAGGATTCTGAATTACAGCAACTGCTCACACTTGGGTGGGATATTGCATCTTGGAGTTGGGCCAAAGAGCAGAGGGCAGGTCACTGGGTACAGCTCAGCAGACTGCGCACCTTTGATCTGACATCTCACACAGAATCACAGAATGGCAGGGGTTGGAAGGGACCTCAGGAGATCATCTCCTCACAGATTTCTATATTTGAGGTTCTCTGCTACCTTCAAAGACTTCAGAGAGGCTTCCCAGGAGCCACTTTGCACTTGAAGGGAAAAATCTGTGGTTTTGTGGAAGTTTTACCTTTTTGCACAAGTAGTTACTCAAAGCAAATTACTCAAGCAAAGGGCAGATGTTCCAGGTGTATGTCAAAGCACATCAGATAAGCTCTACCAGCTCCTTTCAGGAGAGTGAGGAGCCACTGTCACAGCAGTGTACTTGAGATGCAGAACACGTCCTAAAAGGCCTGAGAACAACTTAACTGAGAGTCTGCCCTGCCAGAGTATTTTTCCTGGCGAGTTCCCTTGGTGAGGGACTCAAGTCAGAGTCTGCATTAGTTAGACTTAGTTGTGCAACTTGAACATTAAGCAAGGCCAAAATGCTCACACCTCTCACTAGCTACAGCACACCATGCTGGTGGTCACACTGCTCGTTGGTGCATGCTACTCTGTTGACACTAGTGGAACACCCGGAGCACTAGCAGATACCCGAGTCCTTTAAGTAGACTTGATTTCTCCTAAGGCTTGGCATTTACAATAATTCTCAGTGAATTGGGGAGTGTTAGGGGCAGTTGTCATGCATGTGACTTCCTTCCCAGAATCCACAGTAGTCAGTACATGAGCTATAGATCACTTAAAAATTCTGGGCAGGGGATTACTGTAAATCACTGAGATTTCACTGCTGCCTCAAATTCAGCATGTGGGTATACCCTTATGCCTATGTTAAATGTATCAGCTGTCTATTTAACCTAGCACTTCCTCTTAAAACCTTACTTTTCTCATCTACACAGTTCCCCAGGAGCAGGATGGGCAGCCAGAGGAAGAGGAAATGTTAGTAACATGTGATCCATCAACACCGACTTCATCAGCACTTGAAGAAATGGCCCTGTACAGCAGCAAACGCAAACTCCGACACAGCCGGCGCAGTTTGGAGGCTGCTGTTCCTACGTAGAAGATCTGGTGCACCTGGGCGATGGAATAGCCCAGCACAGGGCTTTTGAGCTTCCTGTGCTCCAGGGCCAGCACTGGACTGCCCACACTGCTGCCTTCTGGACTCTGGATGGGAACTGAGCACCGCAGGGAGCATTGTGGTCAACTAACTTCCTTTAAGGCTGTGAACCGCCCTCTTTTCTCACCCAAGAATGCACTGGGCCATGTCCTGAACAAAATGGGACAACACTAGACTTATTGATGGCAAATTGAGAGGAGGTGTGGGTAGGACAGTGGGCAGCTGCAGCTTGTTAGCCTGTAAATATTGTGTGTGGGGGAAGGGTAGGACAGGGAGAACATATGAGTGTGAGAGTGTGTTGGGCTCCAGCTGTTATTTCCTCAATTTGGATTTTTTTTTAGTGGTTAATATGGGAGCTTCTACTCTGGTATGAATTAGAAGGGAGGTCCAGCCTTCCTTTGCTCCTAGTTAATTCCCAGTCTTTTGCCAAAAAGCATCATCTTCCAGCTCCCACACCGTGACACCTCACTTTCTTCTGGGAGTATCCTTCCCTTTCCCATTTCAAACTTTTGGGACAAAAAAAAAGAAAAAAAAAAAAAGAAAAAAAAAAGGAATTTCAGTGAAGTGCCTCCCTCTGACACTGACACCTGTGTGCTCAAGCAAAGACAACTGAATGAGCAGGAGCCTGTGCCAGCTCTGTGCCACCTGCCTCTGTGAGCGCAGCAATCTATCCCATGGATGAAACTGCTCCTGCCAGTATTTTGTGCTATTCTGGGAGACAGGTACCTGCCTAGATGTACACGTAACGGTGTGTGTCTCGTATGTGCAGTGTGAACCACTCTACAAGCACACTGTACCAAGTGTCAGAGGAAGCCAGGTATCTGTCTTCTGTCAGCACCACGACTGAATTGGTGACCTGGGGCAGAAATGAGAGAGGAGCTGACCAGCCGTAGCAAGAGTAGAGCAGTGTGCATGTGTGACAGCAATAGAGAGCAGAATAGTTGGGATTAGGATATGGTGGCAGAGATAGGAGGTGTAAACAGCAGATAAAATAGTGGGTTAGGATTCAGGAAATGGGGAAGGGTAGGAAGCAGCGTTGCTGGGGTCAGGTTAGGAGCAATGGGGTCTTACATGTAGGAGAATATGAGTGGGTGAGCCCACCAGCTTTGAAATGAAATGTGACGTTATGGGGAGGCCCAGTGTGGGGCTCTCAAGGAGCCAGGCAGGGAGCACAATGCAATAGGATGGGTCTGGCCTATGCCTTGCAATAACAACACCATTCCACTTTTTGCCAACTTGTTGGCTTCAGGCCCCTTTCTGTGTAAAATAGGGAAAATCCATGCTTGCCCATGCAAGAGATAAAAAATGAAAAGGGGAAAGGCACAGGGGTGTGATTCCTGGTTTCCATCAGTGGAACAAGGGCTGTGGACAGATTCTGTATCAAGTGAGCTCTGTAGATGTGGAGGAGACAGGTGCTGCTTATAGCTCTGAAATCAGTTTCTGCTGCCCACTAAGGAAGTAAAACATCCCTCTTGTTTTCTTGTTTTCTTTTTTTTTTTTTTTTTAAACACCTCTGATAGGGAGAAAGGCATCTGGCAGTAATCTGTCT